CTGGTGATTTAACTTTCAAATACTTTTATTGTGTCCTGGCGATAAGTGAAAGCAATCAATGCAGCTAATTGAAAAAAATTTTTAATTGTATTATTGAGTATATTTGATACAGTGCCCAAATGGGTATATTTTTTTTAATGTTTTTCCCTTTGGGGAAATTTGTGGATGTGAAGAATGAAATGATACAATGTTAATCAAAGCCTAAGAATGGCACCACAATATGCCCACAATGTTCCTGGGTATGTGAGTTCCTATCAGCTGAAAAGGCTACTTAATCTAAATTAAAGCTTTGGAATTGAAAGTTTCATTTGGTCTCTTGGGTGAAGCTTCCAGTGTATTTCTGAAATGAGAAGCAATATTAAGACAGTTGATTTGTTCACATCTACCCTAAAGTGAATTAATTCCTTAAAGCAATGGTTGCATCAGGTTACTATACTAGCATTTGGTTTACAGCTGTCACAAGCAGGGAGCAATAATATGGAAGTAGGCTGTACTGTGACAAGAGGTGGCATTTAAGGTATTTCTTAGAGACTAAGTGGAGTTTGAACCAGTTGTGAGGAGGGCATTGTTTTTGACTGAACAGTCCAGGGCACAGCAGGGCAGGATGGAGGATGTGGAAAGGATCCTATGAAATTGGTTAGCTGAAGGCCCACAGCAAGTTCGTGGTAGAGCTAGGAACTTAAGGTTCAGTGGCCATTCCTCTGGACTGTGGCTTCCCACCTCCCTAGCAGAGCTTGGTGGAGTGATCTGAGAGAAACAGGCTGTCCTCTTCTAGGGGTTCAAGGAAATTACAGTAGGTGGGATTCTCAGTGGTAGAGAGTGGCTCAGGCAAATCCTCACCACACCCCACCAAGTCAAAGCTGCTTGGAAATCATGACTCATAAAGGTAGACAAATATTCAATAACTGGGTGCCTAAGAAGTGCTATGAACTGAGACCTCAATAATAAAATTGGCCAGTATTTAAGAGCACTTTTTATGTGTGAAGCACAGTTCTAAGCATTTTACATGTATACTAATATGTACCTTAATTAATTTCTTCCTCATAACCCAGGATTCTTTCATCATTCCACTTTGGAGATGGGTAAACTGAGGAACAGAGAGGTTAAATTCACACACAGAGGTAGAGAGGATTGGGATTCACGCTGGTCGCAGATGCCACATTCTTAACCACCGTGATACACTGCCTCTCATGGTCATGAGATGTGCAAGGTCCGGCTCTTGCAGAGCGATATAATCGGGAGCTACAGACAGTGCTAGGCAGAAGCAGCACTGGGGGTTATGGAAGCTCAGAGAAATCATATTCAACAAAGCCTCAGCAGTCAGGGAAGAACGAGCAGTTACTCAGAAGAGGCCAGTGGGGGTGAGGAAAGAAAGGAAAGCATATTTCTAGACAGACTGGCAGCCAGAAATACCTGAGGGGAACCCTGACCACTGTGGCTCTGTTGGTTGGGCATTGTCCCTCAAAGAGAAAGGTTGCTGATGGTCAGGGTGCATGACTAGGTTGTGGGTTCGATCCCAGGACTATCATTTTCAGAATAAAAGAGTGAATCAGAAATTGGATCCTCCCAGGCATTTGTAGTGTGGGAGTTCAGGAAACCTCAGTCCTCAGACTCCATTTAAGATGAGCCGGTACTATTAGTGCCTTCAGGTATCTGATAGAAATAGGTGAAATTACTCCTTGGAGGGACTTTTTAACTCCCCTCCAGTTATTTCCACATCCCTCTCCCCCATATACAATTTTTTTAAAAGCACACAATAAGAGGCACTGTGGATGAAAACCAACAGAAATAACAGAAACTGATTCTCAAAGAGCTTCAGGTACTTGAATTACAAGATAACTATAAAATGTTCATGATCAGTGGGAATTGACGGAGTGGAGGGTGGGATGGGTGAAGAGGGCAAAGGGGGAAAAACTGGGACAATTGTAATAAAATAATAAAACTTAAAAAATGATAACCTCTAAAAGGAAAAAAATCAAAATGTTCATAACTATTTTCTCAGAAATAAATGACAAGTTTGAAAATACCCACAAGGAACAAGAAACAGCAACAAGTGAAATGGGAGTTATTTAAAAGACCAACTAGAACTGTTAGGAATGAAAAATATAGTAACTAGACAAAAATCCATTAATGGATGGCTTTAAGAGAAGCTTCAGGGAGAATTAATGAACTGGAAGATAGGCCAAAGAAAATTACCCATGCACGTAAATTTATTTTTTTTAAGATTTTATTTCTAGAGGGACAGGAAGGGGGGAGAAAGAAAGTGAGAGAGACATCAGTGTGTGAGAGAGGCATTGATTGGCCACCTCTCACACGCCCCCAGTCGCGGGCCTGGCCTGCACCTCAGGCACGTGCCCTGACCGGGAATCCGACCGGTGGCCCTTTTGTTCGCAATCCAGTGCTCAACCCACTGAGCAACACCAGCAAGGGCATGCACATAAATTAAACAACTTAGATGAAATGGACAAATTCTTCAAAACCCATAAGTTACCAAAATTCACTCAATATGATAAATCATCTGAGTAGCCCTATAAATATTAAAGAAATTGAACTTAATTAAAAAGCTGTCAAAAAGAGCCCTGTCTGGGTGGCTTGGTTGATTGGAGCGTCATTCTGTGCACCAGGGGGTTGTGGGTTTGGTCCCTGGTCAGGGTAGATATGGGAGGCGATTGATATTTCTCTCTCCCTTCATCTCTAACACCAACAGACATGTCCTTGCGTGAGGGTTAGGAAAAATAAAAAATAAAACTTCTGAAAAGATATATTGAGGCCCAGATGATGATGTTTTTCACTCAAGAATTCTATCAGCTTTTCAAGAATTAGCACCATTCTATACCACCTCTTCTAGAAATTAGAAGAGCAAGAAACACCTCCCAATTCATTTTACAAGGTCATTATTATTTTGGTACAAAAGCCAGAAAGCAAAGTACAAAAGGAAAAAAAAAAAAAAAGCTTGTAGGCCGACATCCCATGAATTTAGCCATAAAAATTCTCAATAAAATATTAGCAAATTGAATCTAGCAATATATAAAAAGAACTATACTACACGGTCAAGTGGGGTTTAGTCCAGATATGCAAGGCTGGTTATACACTTGGAAATGATTCTATGTGATCCACTATGCCAAGAGACTAGAGAAGAAAAATCACAACCATGTCAATTAATGCAGGAAAAGTATCTGACAAAATTCAATACACATTCATGATAAAAACTGTCAATAAACCAGAAATAGAAGGGAACTTCCTCAAATTGATAAAAAGCATCTCCAAAAATCCTACAGCTAACATCATACTTGATGGTGAAAAACAATACTTTCCTCCTAGGATAGAGAACAAGTCAAGGTTGTCTATTCTGGCTACTCTTATTCAACATAGAACTAGAAGTCCTAAAAAGGATGGTATGGCAAGAAAAGGAAATAAAAAGTATACAGGTTGGAAAACCCCTCTAGAACTAATAAGGGAGTACAGCAAGAACCCAGGTTACAAAAGCAATGCACAAAAGAAATTATCCAGAATGCAGCAGAAAGAAACAAAAAGATGAAAAATAGACCATGTCTAGGGGAAGGAACATAAAAGCGAACTAAATGGTAATGGGAAAAAATGCAATAAAGATTAAAATTTTAAAAAGACGGTAAAAAAAATAAAAGATATTATATTTAAGTTCCAGAAGGAGAAAATGAGGCAGAGGCATATCTGAAGAAAGAGCTAAGAATTTCTTAGAACTAGTGAATTTCCACAGACTGTAGAAGCCCAAATACTTCCAAGCAAGGGAAAGAAAGGAAGAAAAGAGGGAAGGAAGGAAGAAGGGAAGGAAGAAATGAAGGGAAGGAAATCTTCCCTAGACTCATGATAGTGAAATTTGCAGAGCCTTGAAAAATTGAGAGAGGTGAGGCTGGTGAGGTAAGGGGCCAAGTGAAAACCAAGCTAAGGAGGTTGGACTTAATGAAAAAAGCTAACATCTAGATAGTGTTATTACCGGCCAAGCCCAGATCGACATGAAGTGATTTACTCTTTGCAGCAATTGTTATTAGGCAAGTATTATTACCTCCATTTTACAGATTAGGAAATTGAGACAAGTGAAAAATTTGTTTACTTGCCCAAGGTGGCATGGCTTATCAGTGGTGGAGGTAGGATTTAAAAAAAAAAAATTGGTTGTTTTTTATTTAAAAAATTGTCATCCAAGGACATGTTTACTGATTTTAGAGAGAGGAAAGAAAAGAGAGAAATAAACATGGATCTGTTGCTTCTTATGCACATCCCAACCAGGGTCAAACCGGCAACCTAATGGCAACGTATAGTGCCCTCACCAGGGATGAAGCCCCAACCTCTTGCACACAGGACAATGCTCCAATCAACTGAGCTACCACTGCTAGGTTCTAGAGGAAGGATTTTTAACAAGGTAGTTCTGGCTCCAGTTTGCGTCCCTAACCACTACACATACCGTACCTAGTACTTGTCTCTATGAAGGACAATGGGAAGCCATTAAAAGGTTAAAACCAGGGGAAAGACACTACAGTTGTTTTCCAAAAACAAATTATCCTGGCACCACTGTGGATCATGGATTAAATGCAGCTAAGAGTGTAAACAGGAGTCTTTTGGAACAATGTAGCCCAAAATAGGGAGGGCCTGTATGAACGAGGGAGGTGGCAGACAAAAGCAAGTGTATTTGCGGGGTGTTCCGTAGCCAGGCTAGGGGACTTCGTTTTGGAAGGGGTGAAGGAGAGTTTTCTCACTTGGGCTATTCGGTGGACAGTAAGTCATTCACTGAGGGGACTTAGGAGTCTGATCTAGGCACTTCGAGTCTGAGGTGCCTGTAAAGATCAGCCATCCACAAGGGGCAGAACTGCGTGTAGTACCCAGAGCCGAGAGTCCCACCACCAGGCTCCCCGAGGCAGGGCGCGCGCGAACCGGAGGTCCAGAGCGCGACGCGGCCGTCGTCTCCGGTAGCCGCACGCGCAGGCGCAGTGCGGCGCGGGCGCCCCCTGGCGGGCGGCGGCGCGCAGGGACCGCCCCCTGCCCGGAGCTGCTGCTGCCCGCCTTAGCCCAACATGGCGATGCATAACAAGGCTGCGCCGCCGCAGATCCCGGACACCCGGCGGGAGCTGGCAGAGCTCGTGAAGCGGAAGCAGGAGCTGGCGGTAAGGGGCTAGCGCCGGGAGAGTCCGGGTGGGGGCCCCGCGCCTCCCCTCGCCCCCAGGCCCCAGCTCCGCCGCGCCAGGCCGTTACTTCGCGGGCATTGCGCTGCGGCGGGGAATCTGGCGGCCTGAGGCTGGGCTGCGCATTCTGCGGCCCGCCGGCGCCTTGGCTTCCCGACTGTGTGGGAGCCGGAGCCAGGGGCCGGGCGCCGAGCCGGAGTGGGTGCTGGGGAGGGGGACTAGATAGGTGGGGGGCATGGATAAAGGATGGCGCTTGGGGCTTTGGGGATCCTGTGTGGGAGCCCTGCAAAGGCGAGTGCCGGTGAGCTTTGGGGGTGGGTGAAGGCGGGCGTGTCGGTAGGCTGCAGGAGATTGGTTCGGGCGTGCCGGTGGGCTTCGGTGCGGTGGGGCAGGAGGCAGCTGTGGGAGGGGGATTCAGTCATCCACTCTGGCCTTTGGAGGATGGAGGGGCGTGTGTTCTTTCGGGGACTAGGAGTAGATTCATTGAATGGGATTTCTGATGGGCAGGGATGCGATGTGTTTGGGAACGTCTAGAAGATGACAGGCGAGGGGAGCGCACTCCGTCTAGGGAATTAGGAATTGTGACATGCACCCAGCATCTCATGCACCCTGGTGGCTAAGCCCTCTTCGCCTTCCGCGTCTTGGTTGGGCACCTAGGAGCCCATCTCACCTGAAGCCCTACCAGGTTTCCATAGCAACTGTCTGTCCAGTGCAGGCGGCCTTTCCGAGCGCCGGGCAGCGTATTGGCGGGCCCTGGAAGGCTGCTCACCCTACCTCTTATGCGTGGGAGTGGAGTCTGCATGAACCAGGGTTCTTCATATTTGGGTTTCCATGAACTCTCTGAAATAGATACGAAATTTTGTATATGTATGCATTTTTCAGAGGACAGGCTCTCTGTTCCATTGTGTTCTCAAAGACATTCAACAGGGCAATTCTAGACTGTCTCAATCTGCTTGCCCCTTACCATATCATGCATCTCTCCACAATGGTGGTTAAGTGTATTTGTGCTTGAGTTTGTAAGTCTAATAGCAAGATTTCAGTTTGGTCAGACCTGATGCTTGCGTTTTAAAAGGCATTATCACCATTATCCATTTCCTTGTTTTTCATATCTCAGGAAACTCTGGCAAACTTGGAAAGACAGATCTATGCTTTTGAAGGAAGCTACCTGGAAGACACTCAGATGTATGGCAATATTATTCGTGGCTGGGATAGGTATCTCACCAACCAAAAGTGAGTGCCAGAAGCCTGTGGTGTTTGTATCTCGACCAACCAATACTTGTTTTTTGGACTGTATAAGTTTCTGGTAGCATCTCTGCAGGGAGGCGGTATAATAAGTGGTAGTATAAAAAGAGGTTTGGGCTTGAGCTTGGACCCTGGCTCAGCCTCAGCTTCACTGAGTAATCAATCCTAAACACGTCCTACATCCGTGGAATAAAGTCTCTACCTCCTATGGCACAGGGTGTGTGAGGTTTAAATGAAAATACAGCATATAATACCTTACACAACAGCGGTCTATTAGCATTTTCCACATTTTAATCAGTCATGAGTTCCACCCTCACAGTATTAGCCATACCTAGTGCCAACTATACCACAATTTATTTATTTATGTTAAAGATTTTATTTATTTATTTTTAGAGAAGGGGGAGAGAGAGGGAGAGAAACATTGACCTGCGATTGGTTGCCTCTTAAACGCCCCCAGCTGGGAACTGGACCTGCATGTGCCCTGGCCAGGAATTGAGCCCGGGACCTTTTGATTTGCAGGCCAGTGCTCAGTCCATTGAGCCACACCAGCTAGGGCCACAATTTATTTCATAATAATATTACTGAAAACTTTCTAAACCTCTTGAAATTTTTTAAATATATAGAAAAATTGAATGAATAGTATATGAGCACCCGATACCCTCCACTGGAATTCATCAATTGTTAACTTGTTGCCACAATTGTTTCCCCTTTCTCTCTTTTCTCTTTCTCTATACTATATTATATAACATATATAATAATATATAACATATATATATAAACACACACACCTATAGCTACATTAAGTTTTTTTAAATTTTGAAATAACTTTAGATACATAGGAAGTTACATTCTATTGCAATGATAGTACAGAGGTCCCATAACCCTTCTCTCAGTTTCCCCAGTTGGTTTTATGTAACTATACTATAATATCAAAACCAGGAAATTGACATTAGTATAATGTATATATGTACTTCTGCCATTTTTATCATGTGTATAGATTCCTATAACCACCACTGCAATCCAGATACAGAACTATTCTATTGCCACAAAGATCTCTATTATGCTACCCATTTGTGGTTATATCTCCTCTATCTCCCTGTACTTTGTTGGGGTTTTTCTTGCTACCCCTGTTAAAGTTAGAAGGAGATATCATGACACACTGCCCCTAAGTATGCCAGCAATTATCCCCTAAGAATAAGAACATTTTTATTACCTAGCCACAATTATGCCAAGAAAATTAGCACAACATTAATGGTATTATCTAATACACAGCCTTTATTAAAATTTCTCTAATTGTCCCAACATGCTTTGCTACCTTATTTTAATCTAGTCAGAGCTGTCATTGCATTAGCTATGCTATCTCTTTAGTTTCTTAATTTAGAAGAGTCTCCCACCCTTTTTGGTGGTGAAATTGTTGTTTATGACATTGTCTTGTAGAATGTCCCAATTCTAAGTTTTTTTTATTGTGACCTCATGAAAGATCCTTTAAACATTTTTGATAGAAATGTTGCATTAATGATTCGCGTACCTCTTGTTTATTGATATTTTTATCAGGAGGCACATAATTTCAGATTGTCCCGTTATGGGTGCTGCTAAGTTTGACCATGTGATTTCTCCATTGTAAAGTTTATTTCTTTTCTTTTAATTTAACATGTAAGTTTGGAGTTTATACTTTTAGACAGCAGAAATATACTGCTTTCCTCCCCCCATTGTTATACAGTAGTTTTAGTATACATTATTGATTCCTATCTGAATAAGTTATTATACTGGAGGTTGCAAAATGGTGATTTCAATTTTACTTTTTTTTTTTTTTACATTTATTACTGGTATTCTGAAAGAAGAGCTTTCCCTTTTTATTTCTTCCCTTTCATCTCTTTCATTAGTATTACTACAGTATTAGTGTAGTATAGTATTAGTCTTATTAGTATTACTATAGACTTATGGATTTTTAAAAAATAATTAGTGTTTAAACCTAGCACTGCCACTTTTTTTATGATAGAGACTTATTTTCAGTATAAGTTAATTTATTGACATATAGACAGAAAAGTGCAGAAATCATAAATATACAGCTCAGTGGCTTTTCACAAAGCTGACACACCCATCATTCTTTTTGATGCTCAGTTTATCCCAAACTTGGCCAGAGGGAGCCTCCTTAAGACAATTCCTTTGTCCTTTTAACATAATCCTATTGGTCTGAGCACATTGTTCCCCTTTCTGTCACCTTTCTCTTTTCTTGTCCCAGACCATTTTTCTAAGAAGCCCTGGTTTTTTCTTTAAATTTTTAAAATTTAAGTTTATTTAACAGACACTTCATATCCCTAGCCTATGCTAGTTGTTTTTTTAAAAAATCGTTAAAATATACGCATATTAAAATGAAAATGATTATGAACCAACAAAGTAGTCTCATGTACCACAGCGGAGCACATTCCATACATTGGAAGACATACATTGGAAGACATTGCTGTTTACATAGGCATTCAGCATAAAGGTTGTTTTGGTCCATCTAACTGGTCTGGAGGTGATAAAAACAAAGAGTTCCTTACATAGTCCCTGGGACATCTCCAGTTTGAGCCATAGACAGAGCCTGGTGCTTATAATGAATCCTTGTGTGTGTTTTAGAAACTCCAATAGCAAAAACGATCGAAGGAACCGGAAGTTTAAGGAAGCTGAGCGTCTCTTCAGTAAATCCTCAGTTACTTCAGCAGCTGTAAGTGAGGTGGGGGGATCTTTATGTAGCCCATTTTTGAGGAAGACCTCTGTTCAATCTTTATGACTTTTTTCTTTCCCTTCTGTCTGTGAGAGCTCTCCTAAGGTCTGTGATAATTTTTCTAGTAACTAGTGGTTTTCTCTTTTAGGCAGTAAGTGCATTGGCAGGAGTTCAGGACCAGCTCATCGAAAAGAGTAAGTTTATTGTTTTACTTTTTCATCAGTTTATTTTGAAGCTACCATAGTTTTTATCTTTAACTCCTTTCCAACCATGTATCTGAAGACCGCATCTCTTACACTCTTGCGTCTTCTTTCTAGAAGTCCTTCCTTCCTGCATCTTCTATCACAAGAAGGTTGATGTAAGCTTTCAAAGTCAGAAAGATATGTCTTCACTCCTGATAAGGCTTAGGGAATTTTTTTTAAGTTAAAAAAAAACTTATTATGAAAAATGTCAGACCTATCTAATAAAATCCCCATGTACCCCACTTAATAATTTTTAGGAAATTCTGATCCTGCAAACAGAATGTACCTGTGTGCTCTTAAATATAAAGTGGAAAGTAGATAGTATTACTTTGTAACGAAATTGTGTCATTTTCTGTGAGCCATGCAGTGTAATTCTGTTCTAATTTCTAGTGATAGGATATAGGCTTGTACACTTTTTGAGTCAGACTCTATGTAGCTATATTGAATGTTCTTCTGTGCAGTGGGTCCCTTTGAAATATGAACTGCTTTTTGTATTATGGCCGTGTAGTTCTTTGAGATAGTATATCTTGTTGTGCGACCTAGTTTTTTGTTTGCTTTGGGGCAGTGGTTTGAGGAAAAGGAATTTTGGTAGTTTGGTAATTAGAACTACTCAGTGACTTCAATTATTATCTCTGTGTACAGATTTCTAAATTTTTAGCTCTATTCTTAACCCCTTTCCTGAGCTTTAGTGATACATTTTCTAGAAAATGTCTTCTGTACATTTCCATTCAGATACTCAAGCCCAAACATTTTGTCTAAAACTGAGCCATCTATTTCCTTCAAAACACGTCTACCCAATTTTTCTGCTATAGTACTTCTCCATCATTCAAAACTTTGTAGGCATTTTTACTACTTTTTTTTGCCAACCTAATCCTTTGGCAAACAAAGTAGTACCAAGTCCTTTTGATTTTTCTTTTGCTGTGACTATCAGTTAAATCTTGTTTCTTCTCAGTTAATGCCACTTGTAGAATGCGGAGCCATTTTATCTGCTTTGTAGATTAATAAGACTGGTTAAAGAAAATGGTTGATCTCACGCTTGTGAACTAAGATGGAAAGGTGTCCGACTCCTCAGTTTTTACAAGAGTCTATTATCCCAATAGAGGATATTGCCCTTGATTTAGTAGGTAGTTTAGTATATGGCTCTGTACCTAATTACTCACACAGAGTAGCTAGGCCTAGATACTTCTTTTCAGGGGCTTGACTGAGATAAGTACTTATGTATTCAAGATTTGTGAAGCATGTGCAGACCATCCATTACTCTAGGATCTTCCTCGTGGATTGAGCCTCATCTCTGCAGTACAGCCTATTAGTGTTCTTTGGTCTTCCCTGTAAAGTTACATTTGGTCTTGTAAAATGTGTCTCTTTGTATTATAAGAGGATGTTGCAATGTTGATTATTATCATTCTTTTTTTAAAAAAATATTTTATTTATTTATTTTTAGAGAGAGGGGCAAAGAGGGAGAGGGAGAGAAACATTGGTTGCCTCTTCTATGCTCACTGACTGGGGCCAAACCTGCAGCCTAGGCAGGTGTCCTGGCTGCAAATCGAACTTGCAGCCTTTCAGTTTACAGGATGACACTCCAACCAATTGAGCCAAGAGGTCAGGGCTTGTCATTCTAATTATTATCTCCTTTAGGAATAGTTGTTTTCCTGAGGGACTAGTTGTTTTGTACTGAAAATCTTGTAATGAACTGTTTCCCTCTTTTTATGGGTGCTAAAATGCTTAAACCCAAATTTGTGGTGCCCCTCTAGAAAGCAAATAGGAGCTTATAGCATGCATTGTGGGACTGAATCTTAGTACTGTATCCAGCTTATTTTCCTCGTCTATTCCTCTTTGCCTTATCTCACTTTAAATTTATTTTATTGGATTTCATTATGTAAACCTTGGCAAGCTGCCTTGAATTCTTTTTGGAATAAAGCAGAGTATGGAGAATTATATAAATACTGAAGTTCATTAGTTCAAATGATCAGAGTCCCTTTAAAGTAATTCTATTGCTCCCTGGCTGGTGTGGCTCAGTGGATTGAGTGCCAGCCTGCAAGCTGAAAGGTAGCTGGTTTGATTCCCAGTCAGGACAAATGCCTGGGTTGCTGGCCAGGTTCCCGCTAGGGGGCGTGCGAGAGGCAACCTATTGATGTATCTCTTGCACATGGATGTTACTCTCCCTCTCTTTCTCCCTCCCTTCCCCCTCTCTAAAAATAAATAAATAAAATCTTTTTAAAAAGAAAAGTAATTTTGTTGCATTTTATCTCACCATTTTTATCATAACCACTTCCCACTGCTATTTATAAGATATGACTTTTGTCTTGATATTCTGCAGTTAACTGCTGTCTGTCTAAGTATAATTATTTTTTATTTACCTGATTTGGATTTCACTGGACTTGTTTAAACTGTGCTTTGGTATTTTTAATCAGTTCTGGAAAATTCCCAGCTGTTATCTTTTCAGACACTATATTTGTTTTATTATCTCTTCTGTATCTTCTATTGGGTTGGCCAAAAAGTTCGTGGGTTTTTTTTTTTTTTTCCCATAAGGTGACTCTAGTAGCACTTAGTTGTCTTTAACTTCATTCAAAACAATTTTGTTAAATTGTGTTGTGACAGCTGTCATATCAGTGTGTAATTAAAAAGAAAAAATCAGCCCTGGCTGGTGTGTCTCAGTGGATTGAGCACTGGTCTGTGGATGGAAAGGTCACCGTTTCAGTTCCCGGTCTGGGCACAGCCCTGGGTTGTAGTTAGGTCCCCGGTTGGGTTGGAGCATGTGCAAGAGGCAACTCGTCAATATATCTCTCACACATCGATGTCTCTCTCCTTCTCTTTCTTCTTCTGTTCCTATCTCCATAAACTAAAAAACAATTTTGTAAAACTATCAGTATTGGTGAATTTTTGTGTAGCCATTTTAATATTGAAGATGGAAGAAAATACACAACATTTTCAGCATATTATGCTCTATTATTTCAAGAAAGATGAAAATGCAACTGAAACTCACAAAAAAGGTATATGGAGAGAAGATACTGTGACTGATAGAACATATCAAAAGTGGTTTGCGAAGTTTCATGCTAGAGATTTCTCGCTAGACAATGCCCCACGGTCAGGTAGACCAGTTGAAATTCATAGCCATTAAATCAAGACATCAATTGAGAACTATCAATGATCTGCCATGTGGGAGATAGCCAACATACTCAAAATATCCAAATCAATAAAGTTATCGGTGAAAATAAAAATGTGTCTTTTATTTAACAGAAAAAACTAAATGGACTTTTTGGCCAACCCAATATCTTTTTGTCTTTGTGCTGCATTATCAATAGTAATTTTTTTCCTGACGTATCAGTTCCTAATTCTCTTTTCAATTAAATCAAATTTGTTGTTTCATCTTCCCTTGCTTTTTATTCTTTTGTTATTGCGATTTTATTTCTATAAATTCTACTTAATTATTTTAAAAATCTGCTATGTAGCCTTGGCTGCTGTGGCTCAGTTTGTTGGAGCATCATCCTGTAAACCGAAAGGTGGCAGATTCGATTCCCGGTCAGGGCACATGCCTAGGTTGGGGGTTTGGTTCCCGGTCAGGGCGTGTAGGAGAGGCAACCAATCGATGTTTCTTCCCTTCTCGCCTTCTCTTTCCCTCTCTCTAAAAATCAATAAGCGTGTCTTCAGGTGAGGATAAAATAAATAAAGATAAAATCTACTATGTAGGGTTTTAATAGCTTTCTCTGCAGTTTTCAAACTTGTCTTTTACTTCTTTAAGTGTAGTAAGCATAGCCTTGGCTAGCGTGGCTCAGTGGACTGAGTGCCGGCCTGTGAACGGAAGGACTGCTGGTTCGATTCCCGGTCAGGGCACCTGCCTGGGTTGTGGGCAGGGTCCCAAGTTGGGGGTGTGTGAGAGGCAACCAATTGATGTATATCTTATACATCAATTGGTTGATGAAAGTGTTTTTCTCCCTCTTTCTCCCTCCCTTCCCCTCTCTCTAAAAATACATTTTAAAAGTCTTAAAAAAAAGTGTAGTAAGCATAGTTATTTCCATAGTCCGTAATTTCAATTTCTGAAGTGCTTAATGATCTGTTTTTGTTTGTTATTTCTCCTGGCCTTTACTCATGAAATCTAATCTTCCTGTGTGCTTGATTATCTTTGAGTACTGCTCCTTATTATTAAAAGTATTCGTAGAATAACTTGAAGGCTCGGATGAAGGTGCTGTGCTGTCTTCCGGAGAAGACTTTAAAGTCTGCTTCTGCAAGGTGCACGGACCTCTTTAAGCCAATTTCAAGGCTCGAGTGTCCCTGAATGACCCAGGGGATGCAAACTGAACTTTAATTGCATGAGAGAAATGGTCCACTTTGCCTTTCGTATCTTTTCCTTTGTATTTCCTTTGTAACAGAATCTCACCAGTCTCTCAGAATTTCTGAATAACAAATCTTGTGGAATGATTTCTGTTTTTGATCTTTGGTGGCAATGAAGGGAACATTCTTTTCTCTTAGAATTCTGGCTTGCACCTTCTTGGAGCTCATGGATTTTAGACTTGTGAACGTTAGGCATTTGATTTTCAAACTATTTTGAAAATTTTCCCCAGAAATGCATTCCGTTCCGCTTCCTTTGGCTTCAGGTGTACCCAAACTAGAACAATAAAGTGGGTTACCGTGGTCCCCGAAGGGGAATTTTATACAGATTAGTAAAGCATCGTATTTTTTTTTTTTAATAAGAGAAAAACAAAACAGGCAGATTTTATCCAGTTTCCTTTCAAGATCAGCGCAGTCCCCCTGTTTGTTTGGCTGGACCACCCTGAGGCGGCCCCTCCGCACCCGCATCCCGGCGGCGGGCAGCGCGCGCCTGCGTGGGGCGCTGTTCTGGGGGGTCTTCCTTTCCTCCTTCCGGCTTTCAGTGCTCGTCCGAAGTTATCGCCCTGACTTATTTAATAGCTACTCCTTTCTTTTCATAAGTAGAGTGTCTCATTTGTAGATTTATTAAACTTAATCAAAATCGGATGTTCTTTGCTCTACACACGAGTCGTTCGCCTTTATGGCAGTGAGAAGCAAACGTTCGTGTCTTTCCACGGTGGCAGCACCATCTGGTTGGCTGACTTGCGGCTGCACTTTGACATGTTGTCACCCACCCCTTTTGCCATCCCTCCTCTTCTGCGTCCCTGAGCCGCGGAAGAAAATTGTTCCTACTTTGTGGTATCGCTTTGTATTTTAACAGTGTTTAATCTAGTCTCCAGGGCTCCAGTCCGTCTTATAAACCACTTCTAGCCTAATAACCCTAAGACACAGATTTGTACAGAGAACTCCATAAATATTCATTGTTGGATGTCATGTCTCTTTTCAGAGATTCTTGATGGCTTGGCCATGTTATGTCCTGCTAACAACTGTTTTACCGCAAACAGTCTTTACAGTTTGTTTAGAATATAACTTGCGTGCTTGTAGATCTCAAGAATATTGAGATTTGAACAATTACTGTGTTCCAGACACTAAGCAAACACATTACTTTCATTTTCTCATTTAGTCCTTAAAGCTAGGACTGAAGGCTTGAAAATAAGGAACATTGTGGTAGCCCCGGTATTTAGCTTGATGACTCACCCATAGGAGATACCCAACACAGGAAAGAAAGAATTCCTTCCTTACAAATGGGGAAGCAGGCGTAGGAAGGTTAAGCCACAAGTCCGTTCTCGTAACCATCACTTTATACTGCCTACCTAGATAAAGTCCTCTACTGAACGTGACACTTACGAGTTCTCTTAACCTGTCATTCCATTTCACCTCTCATTTCTCAAGTTCTCTGTTTAAATGATGTTTGATTCATTTGTCCCATACCTTGTGTTCAAATATCTTATGTTTTCTCACCTCTACACTTTTGCTTGTGCTATTTTTGGTATTTATTTTGGCTTTTCATTTTTCAAGGTCCAGTTTAAATTCCACCCCTTCAACAAAGCTTTTTGTGCTCGCTCTGGCAGCACATATACTAAAATTGGAACGATACAGAGAAGAATAATGTGGCCCCGCACTAGGATGACACACAAATTCATGAAGTGTTCCATATTTATTTTAAAAGGGAAAAAAATGAAGCTTTTTCCCTGAATAATTCACTCTCTCTTCTCTGTCACGATACTTGATATCCGTATCAGTACTTTGGGACATTGGCTACTACCTGGCATGTCACCGTCACCATTCATAAGACTTTGATTTGATTTACACTGTTTTAGCTTACAGAATATGATCAACTCATCCATTTACTCAGTGCTTCCATGGCATCTGGCCCACAAGGAATAAATAATTTGTTTTGCTCATCGGTGTGTTTTAATTGAATTGCCCCTTCAAATTCAGAAGGGCCAGATTAGTCAATATACCTTTGTTGAAAATCAATTGGTCATGAATGTTAAAGGTTTACGAGGTCTTTCCAGAAGGTATCCAGCCATGTAATATGAAAAATAGAGACATTTATTGAAGAAGATACAAGATACAAGAAACATTGTACATAGGACAATTATACCTCAGTCCCCTTCAAAGAAGGCACCTTGGGACCTCTCACAGTTCTCCCAATTGCCATCAGCTGCCCTGTTGTATTTTCCTGAATCTCATCGATGGTCTGAAATCTCTTCCCTTTCAAAGGTGATTTTTGTTTTGGGAAAAGCCAAAAGTTGTAGGGGGACTGAGTCACCTGGGTGATTTGATGTTTTGCCAAAAAAGTCCTGCATGAGACGTGATGCATGAGCAGGCATGTTGTCATGACGAAGCTGCCAACCACCAGTTGCCCATATCTGTGGCCTTCTGAATAGTTTTTGCGGAGGAATGTTCAAGCTTAATGCGAAATTTGATACAGATTTGTTGCTTTACTCACTCAAGTCATTTTGAATGCGACGGCCACACAGTACATGTGCTCATTCAAGTGTCTACCCCCCCCACTGAGTAGTACAATGAAATTATCGTTGTTCATGCATACTCATTCCAGTCCACTCTCCTTGGCTGCCAGGTTACATCAATGTCATGCAAACTGTTCTCGTTAGATTATTAAAGGCTGGACCTTTTCTGGACAGACCTCTTATATCTGGCCTCTGAATTCTCTTCTCTGGTTCTCTATGTCTGTTCTTATGCCAGTTCCACATGGTCTTGGTTACTGTGGTTCTATGTGGTAAGTTTTAAAGTCCTTCTGCTAATTTTTATATGAAATCCATTTCCCTGAAGTAGGCCAAATTAGTTAATATACTTTTTCTAGCTTCATAGTTCTAGAGCTCCCTCTTCTGTTGCTTTCATGAAGTGTTCAAAAATAGGGTTTCATGATTTCTGCGACCCGGGTCTGTTTCTCTTCTGATTTTGGGGGACCATCTCTTTCTTTTACTTCTCGTGTCCATGTGCTACTCAATTATAAATCTCTCCCCAGCATTTTATAATACAAAGACATAAAAAGAAGAAAACTAGCCCCTGGTCCTAGTGTCTACATAACCCCTTTTCACAAATTTTAGAAGCAGATAATGTATATGTATACTTAGGATCCTTCAACAGTTAAGTGAAAGTCTTTGCCTGTCCTTACCTAGCTAGTAAGAGTTTCAAGGAATTCCTTTCAGGAAAAAAAGTATACATTTACCAAAATATATGTAATTCTTTTTCTTTTTTAAAGATTTTATTTGTTTATTTTTAGAGGGAATGGGAGAGAGAAAGAGAGGGAGAGAAACATCGATGTCATTGATCGATTGCCTGTAGTATGTGCCCTGATGTGGGATCGAACCCACAACCTAGGCGTGTGCCATGATTGGGACTCGAAACAATGATCTTTTTATTTACGGGATGGTGCTTCAACCACCTGAGCCACACCTGCCAGGGCTCATTGGTGCTTCTTATGTGTGCCCTGACCAGGGATTGGACCCACAACCTTGGCATGTCAGGACAGTGCTCTAACCTACTGAGCTAGCTGGTTGGGGCCAAATAACCTTTATGCAGTGAGGTTATCCTGGTTGTGTGGTCTCATTTCCCAGCTGTCCTTTGATCTATTGCCTCTGGTTACACTGTTTTCAGTATATATGTCAGAAACTCTGGTAACTCCTATACTTTGATTCTATGTATCTTTTTGTCATTTAGATGTTATGATCAATGAGGATAGGGAATATAGTTTTGTTTTGTTTTTTCCTGAGCAGGTTTTATTCACAGAGGGGATGGGTCTCAGTCCTTCTTGGCTGCTGCCTTCCTCATGGCTGCAAGGACATTGCTCAGCCCCTCTCTCCTCCTCTTGGCACGGATGTATGTCCCTACCTTTTCCTAATAAATTTTAGGGCCCTCTTGTCCTTAGAGACCTTGAGCAGCTCCATGGCGTGACCTTCATAGGAGGCAAAGCCATACACCTCTCGGGTCATGTCCCACACAACCTTGGTGTGCTTGGTGCGACGCCTAGGCAGTGGCTGTGCCTCGACTTGCTCATGCTCTTTGCCACCTTGTGGCCCTTGGTGAGGCCTATGGACACAGGGTAGTGGAGAGCCATCGCTGTTGCTCCTCAATGGCTGCTGCGGGGGAAGCTGGTTTCTTTAAATATATATATTAGTGCTCAAAAAAAAATCTTTCCCGACTGACAGATTGCCTGAGGAGTACTGATGGTGCTTCTGGGGGTTTGTGTTTATTCCCTTCAGGGGAACCAGGAAGTGGGACGGAAAGTGATACTTCTCCAGACTTCCACAATCAGGAAAATGAGCCCAACCAGGAGGACCCGGAGGACCTGGATGGATCTGTGCAGGGAGTGAAACCTCAGAAGGCTGCTTCTTCCACTTCCTCAGGGAGTCACCACAGCAGCCATAAAAAACGAAAGAATAAAAACCGGCACAGGTCAGTGGTAGCGGCCACCTCCCATACCCCATGTGCCCCACCCCCAGCCTACCCACACCTGCCCAGAGTTTCTATGACCATTGCTATGAAGGGACTTTCCTAGAATAAAAGCTCTTCAAGATTGGGTTAGTCTTTCTGTTGCTGTTGGGAAAGAGTTCTGTTTGTGCAGATGAAACACACTCGTTGAGGAGCTGGTGGGCACAAGCATAACCACGCAGGAGGACTGCCTTCCCACTGCTTCTGGCGTAGGAGGGTTTCATTTCACCAAAAATTTGTTTAATGCAGTGAATTTGGAATCCTTTTAGAAGTGGAAAAGGGGAAATAGAAATGGAGTCTGTGTGATAATATTTGAAAAATGTCAGTAGTCCATGTTGGGAAGCTGCAAAGTGGGTTAAAGTCCTTTGCTCCTAATCCCAGTCCCTGCCCACACGTGTTTCCTCGGAAATGGAGAGAACTGATCCGATGCATTATTTCCTTTTTAAGTGCAAGTTTTCTTTGATTGCATGTGATATCTCTGTGTTTATTGTCTCTGCAATGTGCTGATTTCAGATATCAGAGGAACAATATGAAGTCTGTAAGCTATGAGAGTGCCTTCCTAGATAACGTTTGTCCACTGTGTTTTTTTGCAGTGCGTAATGAGATAGGAATGACATCAGTGGACAGAGAGGTCAGGTGTCACCCAGAGAGGATTTTAGCATTCACTCCGCTTGGGGTTTGTATGATAATGCGGGGCCTCTTAACTCAGATAATTGGAAATGACACAGCTGCCTTCAGAGAGGATGATGCAGAGTCTCTAGAGCGAGCAGTCTCGGCCTGGCCTTAGGCATCCTGGGAGGCATGGAAACCAGGCGTGCGTAGGTGGGCTTTTCCCCGGCTCCTCTCAGGAGCCTGCATGCTGAGGACATGTAAGAAGGTCTGCAAGGGATGGGTGGGCTTCCCCGTCCTCCAGTTTGCTTCTGCATTGGGCTGCTTTACAAACTGGTAGGATTTTCCTTCATACACCCAAGGTATTAAATTGTTAGCTCTGTGGATATGGCACATGGGAATAAAATAGAATTCACTCTACTGGTTTAAGCCTCCTTGGAATCAGCTGATTCTTTCATTCTGTAGGAGTTTTCTTGTTGATGATGGTGGTGGTTTTAGACTACAGAAATAGCATTTCCTCCAAATAGTGGCTGAGGACTGCTGGCTTAGCATTTTTCTGCAAACCACAGATCACCATGCCAATCTCATAAGTGCAATAAGAAATGGCAAACATTACATATCTTTTCTTTTTTGTAAGGCTACATGTTTGATCACTGTGATAGGAATGATGCTAGCTTATCACAAATAGTAGCAGGGAACCATAACTTCTTAAAAATAATTTTTAAAATTGTTAAGATAATTAAATGTCTTGCTCTGTGTTGCTTTTATTAAATGTACTCCAGTGTCATTTTATAATAGTAATGATGCTTTTCCTATTTCAGTGTCTAGAGTGGGGGCGGGGATTCCATTAAAGTTTCCGGGACTTTTTTTTCAGTTATTGATACCAATGGACACTCTCTAGATAGCTATATATTTCAGGTAATACATCACTCCCCTATGTGATAGGACCAGCTGATGATAAAATGGAATTAGGCATTGCATTTAACTTCTCGTGGGTTCCTAGTAGGTTTCTATAGGAACTGTGCTTCCTTCTACTGTTTTTTCTCCTGGCCTGAGAAGCTAATTCCTTCTCTAAAAATACTAGGATTTATAAAGATCTTTGATGTTAATTATTGATTTTACAAATGATGTTTTCTGTTTGGAAAGCAGGACCCTTTGACCACTTCCCTGGTTTAATCTGGCTGGGCTTCTCCCATGGGCTTAGGCACCGGCCTGCCCCAAGGGAGCAGAGAAGAGCTGACTTACCTTCTTTCTAGGGAAAAGGTTGAGTGTGCCTGTCTGGCAGCTCGGTGGCCAGTTAAGGTTCTCAGAGTTCTGCAGGCTTTTGTCAGGAAGTGTAACTGGCCCAAATGCCTCGCCCCCCGACTAATGTCGTAGTGAGTCTGACAGAGTGGGGCTGGGGGTGGCACACTTGGTACACGTTTGTGAGTTTGCACCCAGTGTAGTATTTGTTTCTCCTCTAATGTGCCACACCCCATATAGTCAGATAAAGTCAATAGTAAATTATTTCCACAGATGTCTTGAGTACCTACTATGTGCCAGGCATTGTTTAGTGGTGGGTAAAGCAAAGTGGAAATAAATATGGGACTTTAGCATAAAGAAATAACTTTTGAATTTGTCCTTTTCAGAAATATGAAAATCTATCAAATAAATTTTAGCATTCCTAAATGATCACACTGTTCAGAATTTTTATATTTTACATGCTATCTGAATAAGTTTCAGTATGTTTAAAGAAAAAGTTGAAGTAACTTACAGCTGCTCTTTTAGGTTTTTATTACTATGCCAAACTCTAGAGTTCTAGGTTGTTAACAAAGTTTTCATTAGGTAGTACAGTCTACTTTGTGAACAAAGTGAAGTGAGGCTGAAAGTTAAATTTTTATAGTTTTCTTGGGTGAAGCTGTTGCATAAGGGATGGTGATGTTCAGCTTTCTTCCCTCTTCACTATTGCAAACATTGGCCAGGAGGAAACGACAGCCATTTGCATATTGTTTTACCACCTATCTATAATCCAAAAGGTTGGAGCCCACAAGGAGCTGGTGTCGCGCTCTGGGTTAATATTTGACTTGGAGGTCTGCCCAGACCGTAGCCTGTGAGCAGTGACGGCCCCAAAGGGCGCTCTCCTCAGATGGCTGCCCTCTGGATCCCTGAGGCTGGGGCGCTGGTGGGTGTCGGCTCTCCTGTGCTTTCACAGGGGCGCTGCCGACTCGGGCGTTCTGTAACTGTGGCTCTAGCACGAACAGTGAGCCGCTGCCACCAGTTCAGGCCCTGCAGTTTCTGGAATAAGACTCACCTGCCACTGAAGTGCATTCATTGGACTCTTGGCTTCTAGAATGAATGCTGTAGCAAAGGAAGACCACGTTGAGAAGACATAACTTGTTTAGGACATAAAACTTGAGTTAAAAGTTGCAAAATGTTTTTTTAAATGTATGATGTTTTTATCTTTTGTTTTAGTTCAAGTATATTTTGCTGAGTTGTTAGTACTGTCTTCAAAGCACCTTTCACTGTATGACTAAACCCTTCTTTCTCTTATTTCTTCTAATGCTCTAATTATATCTGTCATTACAATTAAATATTTTCCAAGTTCTAACTCTGAATCTGGCAGCTAATAGAAGGCCTGCAGGTATCTAGTTTTCTAATGAAATAACTTTTCCTTTCATAGTCTGTTCTTCTGATATGAAAACCATTGAGGGAAGGGAATCTCCCAACCACAAAATCTTTGGTGCTTTGATGTTTGAAACTTTATGGCTTAGGATTCTTAAAGCTTATTTTGTTTCTACAAATCTTGCTAGGGTGGCTAATTGACTAATTTATTCAATTAGTATATTAATTTCTATTGCTTTCTTCCTTTCAAATGCTGCCCCTCAGCCCGTCTGGCATGTTTGATTATGACTTTGAGTAAGTTTGATTTGAATTAGTATTTGTGCTGTGTTGTTTAGTGTGTAGAGACCAATATGCCTTTTTGAGACCTTTCTAACCCATAGTTTATCTGTTTAATTGTAGGTATGTATATTAGGTTAGGCTGGGAAGTTTTTTTTAAAAACAGAAAAACGTGATGGAGGTAACATTTTATTTAATAACTTCAGCAAAATTAAGTAAACTTCACTTTTATGCATTTTAATTGCTTTCAAAATAGATAACTTTTACTTTAATTCATATTTAAATTGATTTTCTGGCTTTGCTTCATAAGAAGGTTTTAATAGTTTAAGATCTTGATATTTTGCTTTGGAAAGATTTAAAAATTGAAATTTGTTTAATTTATTTTGTGTTTCATGTTCAGAAATACAAACTCCTAGTCTCTTTCCTATTCATAATCACTATGTGTCTCAGTGATTATCAGTGATATAGTTACAGAGCTAACACATTAACATAGAGCATGCCCTCTTAATTCAGTCTCTTTATTGTGTAATTTTGGAATAATTTTAAAAAATTGTATGGCTTTCATAACTGCTCTTTATTTCTTTTTGAGTCGTCTAAGTTTACCTTGTGGCAAGAGTATCTGCTCATGTTTTTAAATATTTGCTTAATAATATTTGGATAAACAACTAAATATGACATAGACTAATGAAGAATGTGGTTAACTGAGTAGTCTTTGTTATAGCTTGTGCCCTATTCAGTAGCTGATTCTTGGATTCCTTTTCTGTAAGTTAAAATGCAAATATTTTTGTTTTCCTCATACAGGATTGATCTGAAGTTAAACAAAAAACCACGAGCTGTAAGTATCAGCCAGACCATTTCAAAGGGGCTGGTAATTTTGTAGATGATGGAAAAATGATTAGAAAAATGACTTCGGAACTTGAGTGTCCCTACTCTGGGATCACAACTCAGATTTTAAAATCTGGGATGTCCATCTGTATACACATTAACTTTTAGGTGGTACTTATTTTTTTTTTATATTAGCGAGAGAAAGGAATTGCACATTTTTACTGAAGAAAACTTCACTTTGATTAAATAATGAATTGTTAATATTAGCCTTTTGTTTCTGACTGGTGAGTTCAGGATATCTAATAATTAGGGCAGAATTGGTGTTTCAGTCCCTTTGTGGACTCAGAGGACAGGTCATTTTCAGATGTGAAGTATTGTATACTACATTTGACATAGAATCTTTGGCTACAGAATAATCCCCTAACAGAGTTGTTTATGAGATTTTTTTTTTTAAAGGTTCAAACCAATGTTCTGCTGAGAATAAACTGGGACTTTGTTTTTCTCTCTTTAGGACTATTAGAAGACTCTTAGTGCAGAAGCTTCCAGGTTGTCGAGCCCTGCTTCCCTCCTCCAACCTTCACAAAGACAGACATCCCTTGCCTGAGTACGTGGCCATCCACCTCTGCTTTCCCAGACCCAGTGCCTGTGACTCTGAGTAGTTTGTTCTGAAATGTGGTGACAAACAAGTCATTTCCATAAGACCACATTGGATCATTTACCTTGTGTCATTTTTAGTAACAGAACTGCAGGAAGACCGTGACACGGTTATAATCCCAGCAAGTTGCTAACTGAATCTCTCCCTTCTTGGAACGAGTATCTCCCCCTCAAACTGGCCGGCATCAGCTTCATCTGTGACACCCATAGAGAAATGGTCTCTGCTTTTGTTTTTTATGCTGAAAGTTGAGCAATGATCACATTTCAGAGGGAGGCTGTAAATACTGGGCGTTTTCTTATTCTGTTTGTGTTTTATCATTTTTCTATTGTTGTTTTTACCATCTTATTTTCTTTTGGGACTTTTTATAATGACTTTGTACAGCTCATACCTTCCTGCTGACATATCTAATGATCTGTTTTGCAGAGTTGCCAATGTTCTTAAACTGAAAGTAATCTCGTTTACCATAAATAAAATGGGGAACTTGGCTCTTTGGTTTTGCGCAGGGGAAAGGTACAGAGTGTTTATTTAATAATTACCTACCTTAAATCTTTCTGAATTGGAAGCAGTTTTCATGTTGAAGGAATAGGAAAAGCTGAAGAACGTAAGTTTTAATCAGTCCTTTTAAAATATTTTTATTCTTTTGTATAAATAAAATATCACAGGGTGTGACTTCTCATGCTTTACTTTTAAACCTGAGGGTTGTTTTTTTTTTCACTTATTTATTCGTATCATGCCTTACGGAAATTTTTTTTCCCATCTTTTCTCTCTTTGCTGGTATTTGCCTGATTAAATAGTGCTTTAAAAATCACTAAGGCACATGGAGAGGCTCAAAATTGCACCCAAAGCTGATAACATACGGAGTTCTTGAACGGAGTGAAATACAGGATCAATGAGAGCTAGCAGCGCTCATGGCTCCCCGTTCTCACCGGGGTGTGAGGTTATGGGCCAAGGAACTTGCGGATAATTGTTACCGGCCTCTGGAGCAGTGGCGCTCTGCCTCGGCTGCATGTTGGAATCACCTGGGAAGCTTAAAAAACTAGTGATGCCTGGGCCCCACCCCCAGAAACTCTGGGCAAGGGTATAGCCTAGTTACAGGGATTTCCTTTCAAAGAATCCCTGGGATTCTGATAGGAAGCCAAGTTAAGAATTATTGCTTTAGGAGACTGGATAGTGTGATTTAAATCCTGTGTTGTGAATCAGTCTAAGGGACAAGATCTGGGGGCCTCACCTTTCCTTTGACTCTATTTAGTCATAGTCCTTATGCCTATATCTTTGTTAGAAAAAAATATGTTCAATTTGTGATAATATTGGTAGAGCTGAATGTGGGTGGCGTTGATTATCAAAACAATTCTACGTTGTCTGTGCAAAAGCTTTTACTCTTGTTCTCAAATAAACCTTTTTCTTTTTTTTTTTTTTTTTTGGACTCTGTGGCTATTTAGGTGTCTTTGGTAGCAGAACTCTAATGTCAGGATTTTTAAGGAAATAGTTTCTAATGTTTAGGTTGTTCCTTTAAAAAATGAAAAACTAAAAACAATAGAAACCAGAAGCCTTTTGTATCCTTTGTCGGCGTGTCTGCTTTCTGGGAGTGGGTGGGGTGCCTCAGGTCCCCTTAGCTCTGAGGAAAGCGCAGGACAAGCCTGAAAACTTTTCTCATGGTTCGGCGTTTGCTGGAGATTCAGTAGGACTGCTCTTCGAAAGATGTATCACTTAAAGGCGTATATATGTGTATGAATACACCCCTGTGTATATGATCATCGAGTCAGGCTGCTTGCTTTATACTTATTTTCTCCATGAAGTTTTACCACCGATGAGGGGAACCTCCCAGTTTTCCGGTAAATTGGCCGGGTGAACTGGAGATCTTCAAGTTCTGAGAGATCACCTAGGTTCCTGACATTAGTGTGGCTTAGAAAAAGGCAACCAAGGGATACCTGTATACCATGCTTGTGACACTTGTAACCTCAGAAACTACCGTATTTTGCTGTGTATTAATGTGCTCTCATGGATAACACGCATCCACTTTTTTTGCCCAAACTTTCCGGGAAAAAAAAATCTTCCATTTTAATTTTAAAAATTCAATTATTTATTTATATTTACATACTTGTTTTTATATTATAAAGATTTTTTTTGTATTATAAAGGAATTTTAAAGGAGTTATACTTTAAATGTATAAGCATAAATAAAAATTAAAAACATTCATATATATATACACAGAATTAGTACTCATGTATAACGTGCACCCTTATTTTTCCCTCAAAAGTTTGGGCAAAAAGGTGTGTGTTATACGTGGCAAAATACTCTAAGTTTGCTTGACTTTAAAGTAAAGACTTTGATCAAGTCATTGCTCAAAAGAACAAAGGCGCTAACACAGAGGGACTCACTGAGGTGGCTGATGCCTTCCTAGTACCTGCTGATCACATTTGGTAGAGGTGGTCTGCTGGGTGGCCTCTGTTGTCCCATCTTAGCTGCTCCCCGAACTGGAGTGACTGCCGGGACTGCCAAGAAGGTGCTTCCTTCTGGGCCTGCCTTCAGGTTACTAGGGTTTGGAATAGCACTGGGCTTCAGTTTTCTGGACAGGAAATGGATTGGTTTAAAAAACAAAAAGGAACAGGAGGGCCGAGGGCAGTCACGCTAGCTGATTTCTGCCTTCTGGGTAAATTTGGTTTTCTGTTCTTTAGCCTTCTCATCTTTAAGATGGGAATAGGTTGTCCTTCGCTCCTTTTAGTAGTTATAAGACGTATTCAAAAGCCAGGTGCTTTGTAGTTACATTTTACGTTGTGTCTTGTGTCCCTTCGTAGGACAGTGACTACACCAAGCTTTCCGGGGAGCCTCAAGCACCCTCCTGCGAGGGAGCTGAGGAAGTAGCTTATTCAAACTCAAAACCAAATGTCCTCAGGCCCTACAAGTTGTCCACAGCAACTTTGCAGGAACAATACACAAAATAAAAAGTTAGAAGCTGTGTGGGGACAGGGGAGGGACTGAAGGGAAACATCGCGAAGTTAGAGAGGACCAGTGTGGGTTGAGAGGGTGGACTTTGAAAGCTGCTATTCATACCGTGGGGGTCTTCAGAGTGACTTAAGGAACTAAAGCATCACCACACTAAAAATTCATGCCTGAAGGCCCACTGTGTGGAGAGCGGATCATGTGGCTTTGCACACATTTGCTTCTCCCAGGCTGGTGGAGTATCTGGTGCCTGAGAAGGTGATGTGCACAGAAAACAAAGATAATGAGAAGAAGGGATTGAGACCCATCCCCTTGTTGATCTAAATTAATGCTAGCATGTCCAAATTTTACAAGCCTCAGGCTTCATGATTTGAAAGTGTTCCCTTTGAAAAACTGCTTCTGTAGAATAAACGTTCTCACAGCTGTGATGAGCTGTGGTGGAGGTGATTCTGACCCTCACGCGGAAGGGCTGTGGTCCCCCAGGGTAGGGTGTGGCCGGGGTGGGGGCGGGGTGGGAGAACATATCAGCCTTTGATTTATATTTATTTTTTCTTTGTGTTATAAAATAGACTCAAATCTTAGTTCATTAGTATAGGTAGGCAATTTATTTATAAATAAATGTTAGGTTGACCCACAAGCAATTGCTGATATTCAACCATTTTGATCTTCAAAACTGGTACTTGTCACACATTAACAACATCCAGGGGTGTTCAAACTTTTGGTGTCTCTGCGCCACACTGGAAGAAGAGTTGTCTTGGGCCGCACATTAAATACATGGTGATATGTAATCACAAAAAAAAAACCCAAAACTCAATGTTTTAAGTAAATCTATGATTTTGTGTTGGGCCGCATTCACAGCCACTGTGGGCTGTGGGTTGGACACCTCTGCACAGCGGAAGCGTGTATGCTCTTAAGTTTTTACTGTTCACGTACAAGGATAAACTGGAGACCCTGCCCAATACAATCCTCTTCAGATCTCCACCCTAAGCCCATGACTTAGTTGTGTACCACAAGGTGGCTTTAAAATATTTAATTTGAATGAGTAATCCATGCAAATGACATTCAAATAGTACTGAAGTGTGGTCAATGGAAAGTAAGTCTACCTGTCGCTCAGCTACCCACTGTCCTTCCCAGACACAGTTTCCTGTGTATCCTAACAGGAACTTTGTACCCATATATATGAGCAATATGTACGTTTCTCTTACAAAAATGTTAGCATACAGCACACGCTGTTACACCCTCGCTTTTCCATATAGGTGACATAGCTTAGAAAATGTTCTCTCTGTGCAGCTGCCTCATTTCTATTGACTATTTAATATTGCACTGTGTATAGTATACAAACATTTATTTAACTGGTCCTCTATTTGGGCATGAATGTTGTTTCCCATCTTTTTTGCAAGAAAAATAGCTGTAGGGTAAATTCTCAGCAGGGAGATTGCTGAGCCAAAGGATATGTTAGAACACAGGGATCTTATTGCCACCTCACCTTCCAGATCATTTAAATAGAATGAATACTTGTATTCTTTTTTCCTCCTTTTACTTTTTTTCTTTCTTATTCCTCCAGTTCCTGAGAATTTGACTTGGGGAATTTGTTACCCAAACAACTGGGATATTCTGGAACTTTAAACTTTGTAGGAGGTATTGACTGTGACCTCTAGTGTTGCTTTCCAGAGCGGAGCTGCAGATGCCATTAAAAATTCCCTGCTTGCCCTTCCCTGCAATCAGTGGATTGAGTGCTGGCCTGTAAACCAAAAGGTCACCAGTTCGATTCCTGGTCTGGGCACATGCCTGGGTTGTGGGCTAGGTGCCCGGCTGGGGACATGTAATAGGCAACTAGTCGATGTATTTTTCACATATCAATGTTTCTCTCCCTCTCTTCCTCCCTTTGCCTCTAAACAAATAAAATCTTTTAAAAAAGTAAAAAAAAAAAAAAAAAATCCCCTGCTGAAGACTGAAGATCGTGTCTTGAGGCCCTTCACCCAGGTGTTGAGGCCAGTGCTGATAGCTTAGGCCGCTAAACCGGCCTCCTGCTCCACAGGCAGTCATACCAGGAGGCGCCGACAGGTGGCAGGCAGAGCACCGCCAGTGGCCCTGGCTTTTGCGCGGCTCTTCTCTGGAGAGCTGCCAGAATCAGAGCCTTCGGCCCCTTTCCCATTGACTTGCCCTCCCAGCAACCTGCCCAGCTCAGCAGGGGTGGGGGTGGGGTTGCCTGATGTTTTCTCCCACCAAGGTTTGTAGTCATCTCTTAAATGAGTGAGCAGTTTAAAATTGCAGCAGCTGCATTGAGATGGGCTTCAAGAGGCCACACCCCAGGGTGACAGCCTGGTGCCTACTCCCCCTCCAGGAACTTGCTGGAAGGATTTACATACCACGGCCTGGGATGGCTTGGGTTTTCTAAATTGTAGGGCCCTACTTCCTGTCTCTCTCAGCCAAATCTCCCACACCCTTCCCATGAATTAAGAGGTCCTCAGAAGAGGCTCTTACTCACCACCCTCTACTCCACCCACTCTCCTGTGTCCTAGGGAAAAAAAGAGCTGGAGATTTGAGAGGCCCTGGGGCAAAACTGCTAATCCTTGGCTCACCTTTTGTGGGGGTATAAGCCCCTGGGGACCAGCTGGGCACCGGGCTCAGGCTGAGGGCACCCCCTCCCCGCCCCAGATTGGGGACACATTGAATCCCAGCTTCTCCTGCCTACTCACTCTGCCTTGGACAGACACCGCCCAGCACCTCCTTCAGGCAGGGGTCTTGCCCTTCTGTGTAAGGGAGACCAGCTCTGGCTTTTCCAGGAGACCCGGGTGGGGGGGGGGCGGTCACAAGACTTCGCTGGTGGGAAGAGGGAGGAAGTGGCAGCTGCATTGGTGCGTGGTGGCCTCTTCCCACTCCCTCCCCCACCCTGCGGGAGACCAGTCATGTTTGGGGTGTTAGCAGCCCTTGGGGGGCTCCGGGAGAGGTGCTCCCCTGGAGCTCCAGAGCTATCCCCCTCCTAGTTTAGGTCCCCAGATCTTTAGGGACAGCTGGGTTTTTTTTCAGGCTGGTGAGGTGACAGGGAGACAGAGTGGGTGGGGACATTCAGGGCAGGGAATTTTCATCCAGTCAAGGGCCAGTTCATTTTCTGCCAGGAAGGCCGAGGTCTCTGCCGTCCTCCTGCCCCCCATGCGGGGTTAACCTGTGTGGGAGACGGAACTTGCGAGAAGACTCGGGCTCAGGGCCCTGCTGGTGACGGCCCTAGGGTGGGGTGTTTGGGGCTGTCAGGGTTCAGGGAAGGGCTGGCAGGAGGCCATCCTCTGCGAGCTCCCCAGGATCATTTCCCAACAGAGCAGGGATTTGCATACTCCCTGGTTTCCCCATCAGCTCCTCAGCTCCTGGAACCAGGAAAAGGAGGAGGAAATCATGCAGGGCAGCTACCTGACTTTGATACCCTCCAGCGCCTGAGTACCTGAGCTTCTGTCCCAGGATCACAGCCAGGCCTTGCCACCCCCTTCTTCATAGGAGCCTATGAGAACTTCACAGCTGTCTTGTGAGTCAGGCCAGGGAGCTCCCAGAGGGGAGGGGAGTTGAGTTGCTCAGACCACACAGCCAGTGAGGGGGACTTGAACCCAGGCTTTCTTCCTCTCATGCTGCTGCTCACCAAACTGAGCTATCATCTTGTCACATCCAGAGAGATGCAGGGATCTATGTGTCCCTTTGACAGGTAGGGACACTGAGGCCCCATTCATAAAGGTGCTTCAGGGGGTGGGGCAAGACATGGTGGGGAGAACGTCATGGGAGAGACATCTGGGCATTCGCCTGGCAGCCTCTGAGAGGCTCTGCCCGGAAGTCAGATTGAGAAAGAGGCCTGGAGGGGAGGCTACAAACCCTGGAAGGGCCAGCCCAGCCAGGCCGGGGCTGCCGGGAAAGCACAGGATGCAAGCTCAGGCCAGCAGGGCACCGAACTGACTCAATCCTCCCCAGAGCCCAGCCCCAGCTGGCACCTGCCACATGGGCTCTGCTGCCCTTGTTGGTGCCTGTCAACAAGCCGGCAGGGACAGACACGGCCTCTAGACATTAGCCACAGCCAGCCTGGGCCTGCCACCTCCTGCCCACTCCTGTACAATCTGCCTCCACTGCCCCCCCGCCCCCCTGCTCCACATATACACATCCTGAAGCAGAAGCAGTGCATGACCAAGAGTTCAGCCCTAGTCAAGGACCACGTAGGGGCTCTCAAGTCTAGCTGGTGGGAAGGGAAGAGGGGTGAAGACACCCTATTCTGCTTCCTGACTACTCCTGAGAACTCACTGCCTTCATGCTCCACTGTGGGGTGCAGACAGAGGAGGCTTAGTGGGTGGGACGCTGAGTGCCCGTTGCTGAGCAGGTGGGTGGGGTGGTCACATCACTGTCATGCTGGAGGGATTCCTATGTGAGTGTCATAAAGGTAAGAGGGTTGTGAGGTGTGAGGCAGAGGACAGTGCCTCCATCCCTGTCAGGGACCCCCAATTTGAGGCCCTGCCCCCTCCCCGCCATCCCTCCCTGGGGAACCTTGGGCAAGTCACTTAGCACTGCCAGTGGCTGATAATGAACAGGATCGTCCGGTATTTTATCTTCCTGTCTCATAAAAACAAACAAAGGCCCATAAATAGCCTTTTAACTCGAGTACACTTCTTGATAGGGAAAAAAAATTATATGGCAATGACATTTCTTTGTGCAGATAAACTTCCCGAGGAGGCCGGAAGCAGCAGGCATAGGCATCTTAATGAGCATGTTGTGGACTGTGTGTGGATTCCTGCCTCAAGCGCAGGTGTCAAAGAAGGTTCAGGGTGAGGAATGGGGTGGGGGCCTAGTTTGCAGGTCGCCAGTGTGGCATTTTCTGTAACATGCTGCACATCTGTTCTGTGGCAAAAGTTTCTTAAAAAAACAAACAAACTATATGTATATATATATATGCTATAAAGGCTTCACAAACAGTAAGTACAAATTAGGTGAGATGTTCAAAGATATAATTATTAAAACTGTATTTTTTCCATTTTCCCCTGCTGAGGGTGTTTGGGGATCATCTGACAGACTAGCTTTTCACTTAAAATATTTACTATTTATACCTCATTTCTTCATGTGGAGAGAGAGAGAGACAGAGAGGGAGAGGGAGAGGGAGAGGGGTATTCATTCCTGCCTGGCCCCTTTCCTTCTGGGGGCAGATGAGATGGTGGATGGACGTGAACACAGCCCACCCAGGGCATCACTATGTGCCCCTTCAATGAGCACTTCAATGAGCACTTCCTATGTGCCAGGCACTGGGTTGTGCACCCAACACGCATGATCTCCTGTACTCCTTACAACAACCCTGTGAGGTAGGTACCATTATAATCCCCACTTCACAGATGAGGAAACCGAGACCCAGCGAGGAGTAATCACTTGTCTCAGGTGACATAATCGGTGGCAGAGTCAGCTCTTGAGTTTGGGGCCAGGACCTCCACTAGGCTGCCGGGAGGCCACCCTGGCATCGTCTCTCCTGGCTGCTGGTGTCCCCACGCTGCCCGCTCTGCTCTGCGACTGGAGCAGCGCCTGGGAGGATGGGGCCAGACCCTGAGGGCTCCCTGGGCTCCCTGCATCCAGCTCCCCTGGAAGCCATCTTCTCAGCCACATGGCTTCCCATCCTGAGTTCTGGTCGCAGGGCGGCCAAGGGGAACCGCCTCCCCCCGCTCCCACCCCCAGTCTCAGGAGCTCTTTTCCACTTCTGCTTTGCGCCGCCCCCTCCTGCTGCCCACGTCCAAGGCCTCCTCCCCAGGCCTGGCCCAGGGCCCCGGCAGGGCTGCCTCGGCCCCAGAGGGACTGAGCACGCCCGGCGGGGCTCGCAGGTCCGCCGCACACCTCTGACCGGCCGTCCCCTACAGGCCCACTCAAGCACAACAAAGACCATCACCACGTAAAGGGGCTCACATTGTCCTTTATCGACAGGTTAAGGGAAGCAAGGACTTCCCACGTAAAATATTAACATTACACATGTCTCAACCTTTGGTGAGATGACTCCAAGTGCAGAGGAAAGGGGAGGCAGAGAGGGTAGGGGCAGAGGGTTCTTGATCCCCAGCAGGGGCCACGGGACAGGTGAACTAAATGGGCAGAAGGTGGGTTTTTAAGAAGCATCTTGCTTACTAACATGAAGCCTTATGCCCAAGAGCATGGATGAGGCCTCATTGGCTTAGAGGAGGGGCCCTCGGAGGGCAGGCACACGGTGCCCAACTAGCCAGCCAAGGCTGGCATCCCAGGGATGGGGTGGAGATGGGGGACGGTGCACAGGGCCCCCAGCCCAGGCCTCTGCTCCCCCAGCCTCCTTCCCCGCCCTCTGAGAGAAAGGAAGGTTTGGGCTTCAGCCACGGACCGACAGCCGTTACCGGCAGCGTCTCCTTAAACTAGAGATACAATGTGTATCAACAGGGTGATCGTTCCTGACCCACTCGGGCAGACAGCTAGAGGTGCCGAGTGGATCAGAACCAATCCTACAGTATCTTTGGTTTGCGGGTTCCCTTCCCTACTTTAACCCTCCCTCTGTCCAGTCTCCAGGGCCAGCCTTGGGGCTGGGAATGGGCTGCTGGATGGCCCACAGACCGGCATGACAGAGCTTGGAGGGCGGCCAGGACTGCCTACTCGCTGAGGTGCTGGGACTTGTAGGAGAGGATCTCAGCAGCCAGCTGCTGGGGATCCAGGAGCTGTGGGAAGCGCCTCATGACGGCTTCCACCAGGTGTGGGGGGAAGACGCCGCACAGCTTGGTGTACACACTGGCTCGCTCCTTGGCCAGGCTGCTGGCCCCACCCCACGGGCCCCGGTCGGCCCCTGGTCCCGGTACCTGCGGCTCCTGCAGGGCCGGGGTGGGTGGGGGCAGCTGGTATGGCTCAGACCAGTACTCTCGAGGCGGAAAGGCAGCTGGCGGGGGTGCATAGTCGTTAGGGACACTGAAGTGGCCACCCACGGCCCGTCCAAAGGCAGAGAAGGCTGGAGTGCCTGGGAGCTCAGCCCCGTAGGGGCTGTAGCCAGCATAAGGGCCACGGGGTGGGCCTGGCTCACCAGAGCCCACTCCTCGAACCCCCCACAGTTCTGACATCTGGCTCTCCAGGGAGCCAATGCCTGAGTCCAGGCAGCCCTGAGAGGAGTACGGGAGAGAATCTGGGGTCTGTGGGAACCAGTCTGTGGGCCCAAAGCTGCCGCCGCCACTGCCCCCACTGCCCCCACTGCCCCCACTGGGTGGCAGGCTCCTGCCTGTGGTCGCTGGGGGAAAGGTCTGGGCCAGACCCTCTCGGTGGGGCCCCGGGGGTGCCTGGGTTCCCAGCTTTTTCCTTTCCAGGGTGCACTGCTCATGCTCAGTGGGCAGAGAGCCAGACTGAGATGGTGGTGAAGGCCGCTGGCCACTTTTGTCCTTGCCCGGGGCCCTAGGGGGCGAGAGGAGGGCATTGGCACGGAGCTCATCAGCCACAGAGCGCTGGGGGCGGCTTGGCCGCTCGGGGTGGAAGAACCGGCACTTGATCCCGTAGGTGCACTTCCTCCCTGGAGAGGAGGAAAGGGAACTCTGAGCAGGGGAGCTCTAGGACCAGGGGAGGCATAGGGAAGGCAGGGTTGGGTGGTTCCTAAGAGGGAGAACTTCGGTGCAGTCCACCTTAGGTGAGAGGAAGGGGAAGGAGTAAGGAGGGCTGTGAAGGGTGAAGCTGGGTCTCTTACCATAGGGACAGGGCTGCTTCCTGTGCTCAGCTGTCAGCGGCTTCTTACGCAGGAAGTTGTCCAGGCTTGGCCCATGGCGGCCCAAGGGGTCTTCAGGGAGCATGAACCTGCAGAGTAGGTGGGAGATGTGAGGAGGACTTCCAAGTGCCAGAGGGGGCTGGACAGCAAGCCTCACTCAAAAGGATAGGAGGCTGGCTCCTAAAATTGGTGCCCGTCCAGCGGGACAGCCTTGGGCAGCCCTCATGCCAGGAGCTCTCTGAGGCCGTGGAGAGGCTGGCAACCTGAAAATTGAAATCTAGCCCTGGGCACTGTGGCTCAGCTGATTGGAGAATCTTTCTGTAAACTGGAAGATCACGGGTTTGATTCCTGGTCAGGGCACGTGCCTGGGTTGCAGATCTGGTCCCTGGTCAGGATGTCTACATGACCAGCAACTGATGGATGTTTCTCTCTCATGTTGTTTTTCTCCCTCTCTCCCTTCCCCTTCCCCTCTCTCTAAAATCAATAAGCATGTCTGAGTGAGGATAAAAAAAAAAAAATCTGACCGAAGGCTGCGTCCACTGCTCAGAGATCCAGTGCTGGGACCCTGGAATGCTGTCTTAGAATCACTGACCACACCCTGTCACAATTGCCACTGCTCTGTCCCCTAAATCAAAAACCCCCTCCCTGCCACAGCCTGGCCCAGCCTGGCCCTTCTGATTTGGGGCCATGCTCCTGTCCCTCTTAAAGCTGCCTGGAGCCAAGGCCACGCCCCCCTCCCGGGCCAGGGACAGAACGCACTTGTCGTTGGCGAAGGAATACATGAGCAGCCGCTCCTCGATAAAGCGCTTCCACTCCTGTCGCTCGCTCTGGAGGTCCCGGTATGTGTCGTTGGAGACCACCACCCCGTCAGACTCGTAGGCCAGCTTCACGATGAAGCGGTCATCGTAGCACACCACCCGCTTGCCGCCCACGCGCCGCGACGGCGTGAACACCAGGATCTTCTTCTTCTCCAATTCCAGCAGGATGTGCTGCTCTGGGGGGCAGCAGGGGTGCAAGTCAGGGCCCAGCCTGGACCCAAGCCAGGCCCACTAGGCTCCCTAACCTCCTGCGGACCGGTGCAAGGGCTCCTGGCTCCAGGGCAGGAAGTGGCTCTGCTGCGGCCACTGCCACACCTCAGCCATGCACCTGGACCTTGCACACAGTCTATGCCTAAAAATCAGAAACACCTGAGAAGAGGCCGCTAGGTCAGCTCAGCACAGGGTCCCAAGCACAGAACTGGGCCTTGTCCTTTTCTGCTTCTGGACAACAGGGCTGTTCCTGATACAGGGGGGTCTGGCTTTGGTGCTCACCCAGCCAGTCCCATAAGGGTCCGGGAAGGGGCCCCAGCTTGAGCTGGGGCAGGAAATGTGTCCCAGCTCAGCCTCCTCTGTAGCCAGGACAAAGCTACAAGAGCCCATCCAGAAAGGGACACTTTCCCTAGAGCAGGCGGCCCCAGCCTGCCTTTCCCTAGATCTCAAGGCTTTTAGGGAAATAAACTCAGTTTTTACTCCCAAAGGTGGGGGGCTTCCGTTACAAGAACAGTGGTTAACAGCCAGCATTTATCAAGCATTCACTACGTGCCAGGTACTGTTTTGAGCACTTACCATGTATGTGATCCTCACACCCCTGTGAGGTTGTCAACCCCCACCCTGTCTCAGATTAGGAGCAAGAGGCTCAGAGCATCGTGCCCGGAAGGGACAGAGACAGGATCCCAGAGCCCGCGGGCTCACCCTCCACACAGTGCTGTCCCTGTGCCACTGGGGATGTGGAGAGCGTCCCACCATTAGCTGAGGGAGGTGCCCAGCAGTCAGAGGTAGAGGCTGGACAAGGCGACCTCCAATGACCGCCACCCAGAGCAGGGCTGCTGAGGATAGCACAGGCCGGGAAAAGAAATGCTGGTCCCAGCTTGAGGCTTAGAAGTCATTGGTCATATCCAAAGGGTCTGCCCTGGGGAGAACCGGGGCTCCTGGCGCCACTCACCTGTGGTGGGCATGTCGGGCCGAGGCTGCTCCTTTCTCCAGGACGGGACAAATACTGTGATGTCTGTGTGGCCCCGCTCCAGAAACCAGTTCACAGCCAGCAGGATGCCCCGGCAGGAGAAGACCGCCTTGTTCCCATGGCTGCAGGGGAGAGGGGGGTGGGGGTCAGCCCACGAGGGTGGCTCACCCTCTATCCTCTAGGCCTGGGGAGGAGGGAGGCAGGTCACACTGCTGCCCCTGCCCTGGCTCAGCCCACCACCCTCAGGTTGGGGGCCCGAGGCCTCCATTCCCTGCTGGTTCCCACAGCGCCTGGGATGACCAGACCCAGGACTTTCCCGGAGGTTCCATCTCCCAACTATGAGGAAACGCCCTGGAATCTGGCAGCACTTGCTCCCCACGTGGGGGAGGGTCAGGCTGCTTGCAACACACCTGGGGGTGGGGGAAAGGCGCTGGAGACTTCTGGTTCCTGCCCCACCCGGGGGTGCTGGGACCAAGGGGACACAGATGTATACGTGCAGACTGAGTCACCACCCCTCCCTTGTCCGGGGGTGGGGGTAGGGGAGGCACCCGCCCGGATAACAGAAGAGAAACCAGATTGTTCTGGATTAAAGTTGGATTAAAGTTCAGTCCTGCACTCACCCCAGGGGCTGGGACTGTGGAGGGCAAAGGGGAAGGAGCCACATCCCAACCTCCCGGGCAGGCGGGCTGCGACAGACAGACAGACAGACAGACAGACAGACGTAGGAGACTGCCGAGGAGCCTTTCAGTGTGAAAGTGAAAGGATATTGCTTTTCCTCCCAAGACTGCCAATTCCCCAAAATGCCTAGATTGCCTGTCTTCTCTTCACCTCTCTCTCTGAACGGCGTGACCCGAGGGCAGAAAGACCGTCTGGACCAGGGTCTGAAGAGCTGGGACACGGGACATATGCCCCTGCTGTGTTCTCATGACCAGACCTCGCTCCATCCAGAAGGAAGCCCTGAGGTGCTGCTGGGTTTCTCTGACTCCGTTTTTCTACCTGAAAAATGGGCCCGGACACCCGAGCTCTTCTTAAGAAGGGCCCCTATCAGTGGGCCAAATTTTCTGTTTTCATGAGGCCAAATTCAGTCCAGAGAAGTGGAGAGTCTCACGGGATTCCGGGGGCGGGGGCGGGGGGCGGGGGGGGCAGTCCCAGATAACACTGGGTGTGGTGGAAGGGCTTGGGACCAGGATGGGGGTCTTGGAGGAGGTCAGCTGGGGATCCCTCCCAACACTGCTGCCCCTCACTAATCCCTCCGCGAACAACTCAGGCACTCCTATTTGGCAAATAAAACAGAATAAACGTTGCACAAAAGAGGCAAGTCCATGGCCGACCACATCCTGTGGGTGGCTCTTGGGAGGGTGGGGGGTGTTGATAGCTGGAGCCCCAAGAGAAGGCAGAGAAGGAAGCAGAGCAGCTGGGGGGCACAGGAGCTGCCTGGTGTGAAGCTGGGACTCCCGGGTCTGAAGTCTCTGTAAACTGCAGGGGAGCCAAAGTCCAGCCCGAAGGCAGTGCTCATCCCCGCCAGGTGGGGCCTCGCTGCCGGGGGCATCCGCCAGCCTGCTCATGATAAAAGTTAACGTTTACTGAGCGCTTTGAGCCAGGCCCTGATCTACGTGCTTAATGCTGAATCACCAGCCAGCCTCTGAGGAAGGGTGCTGTCATTAAAGGCTCCCTTCCCCTTTATTCAGATGAGAAAATGATGGTCCACAAAGGGCAACTAGTGGCCAGCATCATAGAGCAGCAGTTGTGGAACAGAGATGCGGTCCCAGAGCCTGTGCTCCTAACAACGATGGGTGTTAATGCTCAGAGAGGGACCAGCCCTGCGGCGGGCGGGGGGTGGGAGGGGGGCCGCGGGGGGGATGGAGCGGGGATTAGTGGGTACCCGGCTCCTATGAGGGGCCAGATGCACCACCCACCTCCTTGCTCCTGGCTGCGGTGAAGGGAACCAAAGCGCCAAGGCTCATCTAAGATCCCCAGGCTAGTGATAAGAGACAGATCTTGAACCCATGTCTGGGGCCACTGGGTTGCCTTCCCGTCCCCAACCAGAAGACCTGAACTTATTGAGGAGAAAAAAAGCTCCCAGACTTGAGTTTGGACCAAGTGTTAAGAGACAGAGGCAGGCTGGGGACAGGAAAAACGACGCATCTGGCAAACTTCAGCTCCTCTATCAGGTCCCATGTGATGTGTCACCACCTCTGAGAGGCCTTCCCTGACCCCGACCTTGCAGGACGGGTCAGGTCCTTCGTCTGTCCTCATCAGGCCCACTGCAGTGAGAGGGACTAGCGTTAGCTCTGAGGCGCCACTCCAGGCCCGGGAAGGCAGTACCTGGTGTTCTGCTTCCCCCATCCCATTCCTCCTTCCCCTGGGTCTTCCGCTGTCTGCCCAAGACCGTGAGGGTGTAACTGTCTTTGTCTTGGCTTCCTCTCTCAGCTGCATGGTCTGCACATGCATCCACCTACCTACCTCCTATGTGCACGTGTGTACATGCATATGCCCCATCCTAGGCCAGCATCTTCAAGCCCTGGGACTACAGGCAATGCCAGGGCTTCCAGGACAGCGTACTGCCTTTGGGCACCCCACACCTTGGCCGGGGACAAGTGTGCTCTCGGCAGCCCCAGCCTTCAGAATATTCCCTGTGCGGATAGTCAGAGCCTTCTCTTGGCAGAAGCAGAGCATTAGTACTGCCCTCCCAGGCCGGGAGTGCTCCCCTCAGCGAACTTCAGTCCCTCTCGCTGCAATGGAGGAAGCTCTGCTGGCAAAGGAAAACCAAATATCCTCCCACCCCACCGCGGTCCTGTTTGCCTAGAAGGTCAGGGCCCCTCCGCCTGGCTAAGTAGACACTGGTAAGACGTGTAGGAGACACCAGCTCTGCGGCTCCCACCCTAGGACAGAGGGCAGGGCCAGACTACCCAGGTGAAAAGATCTGCCAGGGCTGGGCCCAGCTAAAGAAAAATTCCCTTAGAAGGAAACAGAGGTGAATTTCCCCACGATTTGCATACGGTGGGGGTTGGCCCGCCTGCCTTCGTGGGGGAGGGGGCGGCAGGGCAGGAACCCAGAAACAGCTGAGACAGGAAGTTTGAGGCTGGAATTCCCCTCCAGATACAGCCTCAGCTCAGAAACCCCCAGCGGCTCTGCCTCTCCTGCCAACTCCTTTGGCCCACCCCCTCCACAATCTGCCCCTCCTCCCTCCCAGGCCCCTCCTTCTTCTGCTGGGACACAAACACACACAGCACATGGCTACCCAGGACTCAGCACTCTGGCCCACGCCCCCAGAGAAAGGAGTCACAGATCAATCCCAGCCACGAACTGCTGGAGGCTGAGAAGGGACCCCTAACCTTCAAAGCACATACTGTGACCAGCTGCCGCTGGTATAGGGGAGGCAGTTTCACCCAGCCTTCCACTCAGGCTCAGCCCATTTCAGAGATGGGAAGACTGACCTAAGATGGCTAAGCTGGGCTGGAAGCGGGAGGGGTTGAGGGGCCGAGGGCATCAAGGCCTCAGGCAGCTCACCTGGGAGAGCCCTGCCCTGTGCCCCACCCTGCATCTGGGGTCTCCCTGTCCACACCCACAGAACTCTCTCCCTTGTGAACAATCTGTCTGCCAGCGCTGACTCACCAGCCCTCATTGGAGGGATTGGAAGAAAGCCCCTGGCCCCGTCCGCCCCTACTCCTTGTTAAAGCCTGCATGGGGGGAAGGGATCCTGAGGTTGAGCCCTGACTCCGCCCCAGGGAGCCCAGTCCAGCCCAGGTGGCTCCAGCTGAATCAGAATGGACGCAAGTCACAGCTCACCTGAAGTTAAAGCATCAGGTCACAGGCCCATACCCGCCCCTCTCCCCCGCCCCCACCGTCCCATGTAGAGCCAGATCCTCAAAGTCACCCTTGGTCAAAGGCCTCAGGAGCTGGGCCTGCTTCCATGGGAGCCCAGGTTTGAGACAACAAGGCCTCATGAGTCCCAGACCCTGAATAATTGTAGTATCATCAACTATTGCTGTTCCCTGAGTAGTTACTCTCTCCAGGTACTGCACTGACTTCTTACAGCTGCCACCTAGGGGGCTGGGCTAGACCTCTCTTACAGGTAAGGACAGAGGGCTCACCGAGGGTAAATGATTCCAGGCCCTTCTAATGTTTGAGCTGCTGCTCTGTGTGATCCCTTCCACTGCACTGCCTCATGTCACAGGGGAGGAACTGAGACAGACAGTGTTGGCTCTTGGGAAGACACAAAGAGCACAAGGTGAGCTCTGGGGACAGAGGACCCAAGTTTGAATCTTTGCTCTACTACCTCCCAGTAGTGTGACCCCAGGCAAGCCTTAGAGTCCCTGTTCTCACTCCTAAAGCATCCCTAGGAAACCTACTTCCAAGAAGCCACAAGGATTATGGGAGCCTCCTGGCACACAGTAGGGCCTCAGTAAAGGGCTTTCGCTTCCTCTACACTAGTACGTGAGAAGAGGCCAAACTCTTCCTGAGGCCCCTCTACAAGAGGTGCAGACACAGAGTCACCATTCCCGGCCACGTCTTGGCCAAAAAAGTAACACGTACCTCATGGCCACGTTGCTCCCATCGATGACCACGGGCCTCAGGTCACTGCTGTCCTTGTTCTCCTCTAGGGGTGGGGGCTCCAGGGCAGGAGCCTTGGGAGTGCCCCCACCCCGGGGGACCAGAGGAGGCTGAGGGCAGGGGTCTGGTGAGGCCTGGTGCTCCCGCTCAGTGGCTGACCCATGTTTCACCAGCTCACCCAGCACCGTGTTGGTGTCTGCATGGACCCCCAGCTTCTGCAGGACGCTGTGGATCTCATCGGATGAGTAGCCCAGCTTTCGGAAAAAGTCCACCTTCATCTGCAGCTCCGCGGCTGATGCCTCCTCAGTGGGGGGCACCTGGGCTGGCCTGGTGGTAACTGAGCAGCTGTGGCTGTCTTCAAGTTTCCACAGACTCATGGCGGGGGGCCGGCTTGCTGGGTGGGCCTCTCTCCACTGGCCACTCACAGATCAGACTGGTGGAAGGCACCTGTCATAGCTCCTTGTAGGAAAACCACAAGGGTTAGGGATGGGGAATGGCTCCCTTCCATCCCTCTCCTGCCCTGCCGCACCCAAAAGGATGAGGCAACACTGGTGGCACTATGCAAATCCATCTTCAGAGGTTACCTCTGTTAGTCCTCACAAAAGCTCTCCCAGTTAGGGATCATCATTCCCAAGGATGAAACTGAGCCGCAAAGATTAAGAGCTTACTTAAGGTCATCCAGCTGTTGGGTGGTGTCGCAAGGATTTGAACTTAGGCAGTCTGACTCCACCTCCTACCTCAAGCACAGCCCCGCACCAAACCAGGGGACCCAGATGTCCTGGGAGGCCCTAGAAGACCTGCCGCGCCCCGACAGCTGCGGGGCGGCACGCTCAGATGGAAACCCTGGGTTGGAAGGGAGGCCGGGGGCTTCCCCGCTGAGGCCTTCGGCCCCCCCCCCCCCCACGCCCCGCCTGCCCCCTGCTCCGAGTCAGGCCCAGGAGACGCAGAGACCGTGACCGAACTCCTGCGCCGGGGGAGGAGAACTTTCCAGGAAGACCCACGGGCGAGAAAAGTTGCTGAGAAACTCTGGTTGGCCAAGGGCTCGGTGACGCAGAGGTTGTCCCGGCCCCGAGCTCTCTAGGCTCCCCTTCGGGAGCTTGATCTCCCTTCCCCTAGTTTCCCCCACCTTGGGCTAAGTTGGAGGGGGTCCCTGGAACCGGCGAGGCCCGAGGGAACCAACCCTCCCTCCCTCCTCCTCCGGTTAGTTCAGCGGAGCCCACCCCCACCCCTCGCTTGCCCGCAGCCCTACCCCGCATCGAGCGCAACTCACCCCGGCGTGCGCCGAAAGGCGGCCGGCGCCCTCTCCATGGGGCCGAGTCCCAGGGGGCAAGGCCGGCGGCGCTTTTATACCGGGCGGTGGGCGGGCAGGTGGCGTTGAGGACTGAGACGCGGAAGCCCCGTAGGAGAAGAGCTACTCGGCCACCGCCCCTTCCTGCTCCGCCCCGCCCCGCCCCGTCGTCGGTCCCGCCCCTCCCCCGCCCCCGGCTCCGCCGCTGCGGCAGGCGGGTCCTGGAGCTCGAGCTGGGGTCGCCGGAACACAGCCCAGTTCGTGGGCCTCCCGGCCCCGGCGGCGAGGAAATCCAGAGGGTGGGAGGACACGGTCCCCTTGCGGGAGGTAAGGACTGGCTGGAGTAGGCAGGCGCACCGAGTCAGGCACCACTGACCGAGGTGCATGCAGAGATGCAAGGACAGGTACAGCCATGCACATGCACGCTTGACAAGTACGGCCTCCACCTGATGAAGGTACAGTCAGGCACTCACCTAGTGAATCAGGTACAGAGTTTGGGCCACGCATCATTGGAGGTAGGTTCCTAGTTATAAAGACGGATTCACCCAGACAGACACTTTTCAGATCCAGACAGAAACACTCAGTCTGCACTCCGTGACTGGAGCAGGTCCGCAGGGGTGGGGCCACACTCAGGGCCAGGCACACCTTTTCTGAAATAAGGACTTACCAGAAGAGGAAGGCAGGTACAACGAGCAGATGCCCAATGATGGAGGTGGAAAACCAGGGAGTGGAGGTGCATTTACACTGGTCACTATGTGAATGTTCACAGAATTCTCTTACACATCTACGAAACTCATTGGGGCCACCCAGTCCGCCAACAGTGTGCTTTTAGGTTCCCAGGTCAGCCAGTCATGATCCCACGTTGAGCACAGCCTTTTACAGTATCTACCTATGGACCTAGCTGAGCAAGACAGCGGTTATTATGCCCATTTTACCCTAAGTTCGGAAAAGGCTTAATTGTCCCAGCTGGAAAGACTGGGAACGGGATTGAGGAGCTTTATTTCCAGGGCATCAGGTGCCACTTTTGCCACTTTTGAAACCACCAGTGACCTAGGGCAGAGGGGAGACTTGTGGTGGAAGAGTGAGGCCTGGAACCTGTCTTTGCGTGTGTGCGCGTGTGAACAAAGGGAACACGGAACCCACCAGGTAGAAGACCAATCCTTGGCAGCGCCACCAGCTCACTTTGCTGATGGGGAAACTGAGTTCCAGGAAGCCAAAGTACTCAATACTGAGTGCTTCCTGCCTGTGCCAATACTTTAATTACATTTTTCTCTGCCTTATCATAGGCATGTATCCTGTAAGGTTACACGTTATTAGTGTTGTAACTAAAAATTGTTTGTTGTAAAAAGACACTGTATACTCTATACATGTGCAACTTAATGGATAATAATAATAAAATATCCAGGTAGCTATCACCTAACCTAAAAAAACAGACCTGTGCCAGTGCCTCTGAGGCCCTCCGTGTGCCTCCGTTGCGACCACCCCCCCTCATCCGGAACAGCCACTTTCCCGGATGTTGTTCTAATTATGCAAATCATTTCTTTGATTTTTAAAGTTTTATCGCCTTTGTATGCATCCCCAAATAACATTGTTTAGTTTTGCTTTTTTTTTTTTTACTGTGCACAAATGGAATCATTCTATATGATTATGTGACTTTTTCACCCCGCATTGTTTTTTTAAAATCCATTTTTATTGGCCATGTACCTATAGTTTATTTATTTCGCTATTGAATAACATTCCATTTTAGAATATACCACTGGTTATTTATCCATTCTCACATTATCAGATGTTGTTTATACAATTTCTTTCTTGAATAACATTCCATTTTAGAATATACCACTGGTTATTTATCCATTCTTACATTATCAGATGTTGTTTATACGATTTCTTTCTTTTGCTAGTACAAAGAGTGTGCTTTGGATATTCTTGTACCTATCTTAATGTAGTCACAGAGTTGAGGAAACTGACTCAGATTTAGAAAGATGAAGTCACTTGCCCAGGCTCCCGGAGCTGCTGGAGTTGGAAAATCGCACAGCTCTCCTCAAGGCACCTATCTCTACCTTGACACCTGCTGGATCCCGGAGGCCACAGACCACCCCAAGGAGGAGGGGGCATGCATCTCTAGTTCGGTCCTGAAGCTTTTTGCTTCCCTTCTCCGAACCCCTCAGGGCAACCTTGTCACGTGCTCACAGCCACTCCCACTGAGCGCCCCTTGTGCTGCACCCCGCACCTTTCCAACAGCCCCTTTTAGAGTTGAGGAAAGCGTAGCCACGCCAGGCATTTATTCATTGCAGTAACTACATTTAAGATAGGAAAAATAGTAAGTAATGAGTTCAGGTTAATAATCATCATGACAGGTCAAGCATGCCACCGCCATAATGCCTCGCATTTTTACTCACCTGCAACGGCACGGTGCCAGCACCTTGCAGACACTTCCGTGCCTTTGCATCTGCTTCTTCCCCAGCCCAGGAGTGTCCTCCCCTCCCCGCTCCCCACTGCTGCCTGGCCAATTCCATTCATCTTGTTGATGATGTCACCTCCTCTGTGAGGCCTGCGGGGACTCCTTAGAAGCTGCGTTGCTTCCTCTTTGCTCCCCCTCGTTCCTACCTGCTGGATTGCGATTGCATGATCGGGTTCTCCTCTGGGGCCAGGCCTGGGCTGGGACTCCACCCATGCTCCCAGGCTCGGTGCAGCCCAGCGCGGGGCCAGTGGGAGCTGACAGGACTGGGCGATGAGTCACACAGCTCCATGCCCTCCCAGAGTGAACGAAGTCTAGCTCTCTTCCGGCTCATAACGGCTACTGTTTCCTGAGAAGTCCACTCTTTTCTGCCGAACCCAGGGCTGCTCCGGGAAACCCCTGCTCCACTTACAGCTGGATTTTGCAAACCTTGACCCCAGGATCCAGGAGCCCTCTGGACCTCATGGTGCCCAGCCACACACCCCTCTACCTCTTGCATGCAGGATGCGGTACCTGGGCTTGTCAACTTCCTTCCTGGAACTTCCGTGCTCTGCTGACACTTGCCTGTACCTGGACAGCCTGAATGAGGTCTGCACAGCTCCAAGGCTGATCACCCCGTGGGTGGAAGGAGGGGGGAGGGGAGGGCAGGCCAGAAAGGGAAAGGTCCCAGGAATGAGTTCCCTTGCCCTTTGGTACCTCCACTGGGCAGCTGAGACTCTGGGGGATGCAGGACTTAGGTCACCTCTGTAGGAAGGGTAGGCAGGCTGCCCCCAGCCTTTAGCAGAGCAGCTGCAGAGGTTAAATTCAACAAAGCCTGAGTGAGATTTCTGGTGTATTTAAAAAAGACTTTTCACGATAGAGATACAAAAATCGAAGTATGTTTTAAACAGTCATTGAACACATGAACACTTTTCATCACGTATTCCAATACAGTGCACTCTATTTGGACTATTATCAAGGTAGTTGGAGGATTTGTTTTAAAAATATATTACTTCTTTGGAGAAATGGCAGATCCTAGAGCGGGGGCAGGGAAAAGGTGAGCCTGAAGGATCCTGTGGTGCCAGAGGTAGAAGTGCTCAAAACGCAAAAAGACAAAAAAGACGGGGGTGTGTCACAGGGTCCCAGGAGCCAAAAGCTCCCAATGGCCAAAGCTGCAGCATTTAGAGCAATACAATAAATTGCAGTGTTAGATCATAACCCGAAGCCTAAAGTCCATATCTGGTAGAAATAAATGATTGACTAAAGAACAAGCTGTGGAGAAGAGACAGATCTCCCAAATAGTATATGTAGATTCTCCTCCCTCCCCCCCAGCTTAATTATCTCCTCAGCTAGTGCCTAGTAATCACTTTACGGTGGGGAAATCTGACAGGCGCCACCTCGACCAAATGATCAAGGTTAACAGCGCCAGTGGTAAGTCAAGTGGATATCCTGCATCCCCAGTGCTGTGTGAGGGGAAGGATACTTCACTCCTGTGGTGTTCGTCTCCCAAACCCACAGCCCCGGAGAAAAACATCAGACAAACCCCAGTTGAAGGATATTCTACAAAATACTGGACCAAGACTCTCAAAACTGAAAGGGGCATGAGAAGCTTGGAAAGACAGAAACAGTCATAGGCCCGAGGACACTAGGGGACAAGCAGAGTGGATGCAATATGGATTCCTGCGTTGGATCCTGGACCAGAAAGAGCATGGACAGAAAAGCTGGATCAGTTCAGATAAGGACCTTAAAGTCTGGACTTTAGTTAGCAGGGCTGTTCCAGTGTTGTTTTTATTTTTAGTTTTGGCAACGTAGCACTGTGGTGTGAGATAACATTAGGGGAAACTGAAATTGAGAACTGTCTGTACTATCTTTGCAGCCTCTTTGTAAATCTACAATTAATTCCAAAATTAAAAAGTTTATTTAAAAATGTAATTTCATGGGCCTTACAGGTTGTATGTTTTGGTAATAAGGCCAGATGTCTTTATTCATTTCTTTTTTTTTTTTTAAAAAGATTTTCTTTATTTTATTTTTAGACAGAGGGGAAGGGAGGGAGAGAGGGAGAGAAACATCAATGTGTGGTTGTCAGTTGTGTGCCTCCTACTTGGGGACCAGGCCTGCAACCCAGGCATGTGCCCTGACTAGGAATTGTACCTGGGACCCTTTGGTTTGCAGGCTAGTGCTCAATCCACTGAGCTACACCAGTCAGAGCTGTTCATTTCTATTGGTATATGGAAATAACTAAGTATAACTGTTTGGAGGTAGTGTCTAAAGTCTACACTTGGGGACTTTTTGTCTTTGGAGCCCTGCCCAGCTGGCTCTCCTGTGTCCGCTTCTCCTTCAGTTCCCTGCTCCCTTTTTTCTGGACCTTGAATGCTCACATTTTTCACCATAAGGGTGGGGAAGCCCCAAAGAGATTGATTAGCCTGAAACCTGTGTTTTATTGCCAGAGAGACTGAAAGAGGGAAAGGGACTTGCCTTGGTCGTGTGGCAAGTTAATTTAGGCAAAGCTGAGAATAGGACCAGTCACGCTTTCTCCATCCCAGGCATTCCTGGCCCTGCTTGCTGCAGACATGGGGATCAGATGCACACAGGTGCTCAGAAGTGCTGGTGACTGACTTTTGGACCTGATGAAGGCGACCAGAGCTAGAGGGA